ATTATGTTAGGTTAATTTTATATTTCGTTAAATGTTAAATTAAGGTTCTACTAGGTTAATGTCATATTTGGTTAAATGCCAAGTTAATGGGATGTTAATATCAGGTAAGGTTAGGTTAAGGTTATATGTTAATATTATGTTAAACTAAGGCTAGGTAAGGTTAAAGAATTGGATTATGAAGGTTAGGTTAAATTGGGCTATAATGCGTTAGACAATGAAAGGTTAGGATAGGTAATGAAAGGTTAACTTTGGCTATATAAGGTTACGTTACATCATATTGTGACAAGACGTTACATTAAATTATGAAAGATAGAGTTAGGTCATAATATCAGGCCAAGTAATGTTAGGGCAAGTTAAGTTAGTTCATATTTGGGTAAGTTAGGTTATACGAGATAAAACCAACTTAGGTTGGGTCACGTTAGGGTGTCTTAGATTAGATTATGCAAGATTAGGTCAGGTTAGGCCATGTAAGGGTTTGTTAGGTTAACTTATTTCTGTAAGTTTAGGTTAATTTCATACCGCTATTTTGAGACTTAACATAGATAACCCTAGCAGTCCATATACCGCCCTTCCCTCCGGCCATCTGGTCAAGGAGGATGTTTCTTGACCTTTAACTAGTAGGGGAGGGAGAGGGAGAGGATGGAAAAACCACTTGACATTAAGAGAGAGAGAGAGAACTGAATGGGACGGAATGAGACCTCACTTGGATTACGCAGTTCAATTCTGGTCACCGTCTTACAGAATGGATATAGAATCTTTAGAAAGAATACAGAGGAGAATGACAAAACTAATCCCGGGCATTAGGAACCTTGGGTACAGAAACAAGTTAAAGCATCTTAATTTGCACTCTCTCGAGAGACGTAGAGTGAGGGGTGATATGATCGAGGTGTATAAATGGAAGTCAGGGCTAAACAAAGGGGACATTACAAAGGTACTCAAATTATTCAACCAGGAGCGAAGTCGTAACAATGGTTTTGAATAAGACAAATTTAGATTTTGGACGAATGGAACAAGTTACCAAACCTCATCATTAACTCGAATACGCTGGATAGCTTCAAACATAGGTTGGATGGATATATGAGCAATAAGGGGTTGGGTGTAAATGGGACTGCCCAGTATGGGACAATAGGCCCGCTGCAGTTTCCTCCATTCTTATTTTCTTAATGGAGAATTATGAATAGGCTACTCACTGATGGGGATAAAAAAATATTAGTGCTCAGCACAAAACGAAACACCTGAAGATTAGCCTCCCCAGCATATATCACTTTACAACAAGTGAAAACTCGTATAGAAGATATAGGAAGAATTTATTGTTGTATGTCTGTAAAGTGAGGAAAGTTTTGGTAGCGTGGCCGATTAGTTATTTAACTGTTAATATATATTCATTGATATTCATTGGGGGAATTTTCTAAACGCCAATTCTAAGTGCAGCAATTTATTATTCAACTCAATGGTATGGACACATTAATAGAACATTATATTAACGTTACTAGACACTGACTCTCGAACACAAACATGAAATGGATACATTTCCAACAGGCATTAACTCACCCTTGGATCGCTCTGACAATGACTCATGTGTGACCTGAGGGAGGCTCAGCGGCTGGAGGATGTGCAGGTGCTGCTGGAGAGAGTGCTGGACTATGTCTCCTGTGGGAGACTCTGCTAGCTGGGGAGGGAAGTCTCCCTCCCGACCTCCACTAGTGACGAGCGTGACTCCTATCTTCTTCTAGGTCCTGTCTCTCCCTGTCTGCCTCCGTCTGTTTATGTCTCTGGGAAGGAGCTGCCGGCCCCTTCCCTGTTCTAATAATAATGGCTCCGGTAGACGGAGCTGCAGGCCCCTTCTATTGGAGATTTCAAGCTGGCAGATGACCTCTCTTAATTAACACTAACTGGGTAGGTCTGGACTGCTGTGTTTGCCCAGGTGCTGGATGGTAGCTTCTTGAGTAACACGGTCATGATTGCGTGGCGATGAGAACTCTGGGTCAGGTCTTATTTTACTTTAATTATAGTAGGGTGTGCCAACTTACGAGGGTGCACATGTGGGCATCTACTTACTGTTATGTGTTGTACTTCTCTGGGCTGTAAACTTTGGTCTGATAAACAATCATTACAACCTAGTGATTAACCAACTTGGTGAAATTAGCTGGGGTTAATTTTCCGGTCATCTAAATAACCTAATTTTGTAAGAAATTACTGTCACATATCTATACAGCAACTTAGTTTCAGATATACTTACCGACAGTACATGTTTTTGAGTTGTTATAAATTATTGCAACCTTAACAGCAAATCATCGTATGTAATGATAACATAAGAACATAAGAAAATAAGGAGTCTGCAATAGGCCGGTTGGCCTGTGCATGGCAGCTCCTGTCGAGAGTTACTACCACTCTCTATCATCCATGAATCTATCTAGCCTCCTTTTGAAACTTTCCAGAGTTCCCGCACTTACTACAAAGTTGCTAAGCTTGTTCCACTCGTCCACCACCCTATTTGTGAACCAGTTTCTTCCTATCTCCCTCCTAAACCTAAACTTATCCAACTTGAATCCGTTGCTCCGAGTCCTATCCTGCTCGGATATTATAAGAACTTTATCTATATCCCCTTTATTGATTCCTTTCACCCACTTAAATACTTCTATCATATCTCCCCGCACTCTTCGTCTTTCTAGGGAATGCAAGTTAAGTTTCTTTAACCTATCCTGATATGGAAGGTTTCTAAGTCCCTGAATCATTTTTGTCATTCTTCGCTGCACCGACTCTAGTGAATTTATATCCATTCTATAATAGGGGCACCAGAACTGAACCGCATAATCGAGGTGCGGCCTAACTAGCGCAAGATATAGTTGCAATAAGACCTCTGCACTCTTGTTACTTACACTTCTAGATATAAAACCCAATACTCTGTTTGCCTTATTTCGAACATTAACGCACTGTTTTCTAGGCCGTAGGTCCGGGCTTACAAGTACCCTGTGGGGTATGAGTTGTTTGGTTCACACTCAGGATGGGATGGAGAAAGGAAACTCACAATGTGCTCTCTATATACATGTTGTGTTGGATGTACAATGTAGCTTGGTGCTGGGAAGGCAGCATGGTTACAAGCGTGATGTAGAGAGAGCTGGTTGGTGAGGACGCTCAGAGAAGGACAGCTTGTGGGTCGCCATGCTCGCCAGCGGGAAAGAGGACCGCCAGGCAGGCGGAGGAGGAACGAGGGCCGCCAGGCAGCGGCGGAGGAGGAGGTATTGCTGGCTGCGGCTGTAGGTAGAAAGAGAGATCACCACGAGGTCAGGTCTTAAATAGCGGGGGTAGGCGTGGCTTAGCAGTTGACCCCCGCTCCGTGATGTATGGCGGCGCTGGTTGACCTAGACCACGAGGCATACACTGGGGAATTGGTGGGGTCGGCTAGGCAGCGACAAACAGCGTTTGTAGGGGAGAATTCCACTACAACCCCTAGGTCTCTTTCACAAGTCGACTTCTCTAGGTTGATGTTGTTCAGGCTGTATACATTATAAGTATTTGTTCTTCCAATATTAAGTACGCTGCACTTGCTGGTGTTGAATTTCATTTGCCATTTTTCAGACCACCCCTGCAGTTTATTTAGATCCTCCTGTAATGCATTTGCATCCTGCACCTGAATTAATTTGCCGCCCTATTTTGGTGTCATCCGCAAACTTGCTTATGTCACTGCTGATCCCAGTATCTAAATCGTTTATGTAGATTATGAACAAGAGTGGGCCTAGTACTGACCCCTGGGGAACCCCACTGGTTACACGGCCCCACTCAGATTTAACACCATTGTAGTGGACGTCTCCTCTACAAACTAACTGCGTAGCTGCACACCACCTGCTATCACATTCCAATGTGCCGCCTTCCCTAGCAACCAACCAGATGTTACCGTATCTTAGCAACGGAACTAGTCACCGGCTACTTCTCGGGTTTTCCCACCATGACTCATAGCGGCTGCTGCGGGGTATATAAGCTCTGTCTCTCCATTGAAATTCATTCTGCCCATTTTCCTGAACAAGCAACATCTCCTCCAGCAAGCTCCACGCTGTTAACATTTCATTCAACCAGGAGGCCAGCAACAGGCAACATCTTCTCTAACGAAGCTCCTGCACATCTACCTCCTTCAACAAGCTACTCACCGCACGTCTCTACCAAGCAGCCCCTCACCACACAGCACCTCCAGCACCAGACTGTCTATCATATAACTTATATATTATACAAGAAAACCACATTAGAGTTTCCTTCCATCCTGAGTGCTAGACAACATTAATATCTCGATACCCCTACACCATCTACGCTGACCCTCTGCGTTCTATCGGTGAGCCATGATTTTATCCAATTTAAAACTTCCCCTCGATACCATGAGCCTTAATTTTTCTCAGAAGCCTCTGATGCGGTACTCTGTTAAATGCTTTGCTAAAGTCTAAGTAAATAACATCGTAATTTTCGTCATTATCTACTACCTCGAAGACTTTCCTAAAAAACGTTAGCAGATTTGTTAGACAAGATTTTCCCTTTGTAAACCCATGTTGAGAGTCGTAATTTGCTTTTCTCTAGATGCGATCGGATGCTATCTACTATAATTGATTCAAGAAATTTCCCCACTACTGACGTCAAACTGATCGGCCGATAATTTGACGCTGATGCTCTGTCTCCCTTTTTGAATATGGGTACTACATTCGCCTGTTTCCACAACTGGCACAACTCAGTGTCTAATGATTTTGTAAATAAGTTTACGAGGGGTCCGCTAATCTGTTCCCTACACTCTTTTAAGACTCGAGGAAAAATTTCATCCGGCCCTGGGGATTTCGCTATTCACCGGTGTTTGTAAATGAACATATTTCAGATCCTAGATGGAAAACTAGAACCGATTTAATGGTTAATAAACACAGATCCTCGCATACTAAGTTTCGCTATCCTTAGCAGTTTACGCAACCAGTTAGTATTACAACGAAGAAAAGTAATACAAATCGAGTTTCAAATAAAATAAAGTTATATTAATGAAATGTCGTAACTGTGTGAGATTCAATTGATCATGAGGTGTAAAATTTTGAAAATGATGGTTTTAAGATTGTTGAGAGGAGAGAAACAGAACTACAGTTGGTACACACACTATCAGCTGGTCCTGGCACGGTCTTCCCAGTGCCTTACCTAACCAAAACTCAATTACGCAATCATGGCATCTCTCCGGCAGGTACAGTACTTTTAATGTTTTTTCACCTTTAGTTTGGAATTTGTGTCTGGCTTTTAATGATGTGTATATGTCGATCGGTATATGCTAAATGTACGAAGATATCCAAAACACAAATAAAGATATCGAGGCAAAAATGAGTTTTGTACTTCACAGTCATGATGATTCCTTTATATGAAAACTAAATTTAAGCACCTTCTGTTCTTTGGGCCAAACTGAGATACTGACACAGTCATAAGAACATAGAACATAAGAATGGAGGAAACTGCAGCGGGCCTATTGGCCCATACTGGGCAGTCCCGTTTACACCCAACTCCTATTGCTCATATAAGCATCCAACCTATGTTTGGAGCTATTCACCGTATTCGAGTTAATGATGATATTTGGTAACTTGTTCCATTCATCCACTACTCTGTTTCCAAACCAGTGTTTACCTATTTCACGCTTAAATCTAAATTTGTCTAATTTAAAACCATTGTTACGAGTTCGCTCCTGGTTGGATAGTTTGAGTACCTTTGTAATGTCCCCTTTGTTTAGCCCTGTCTTCCACTTATGCACCTCTATCAGGTCGCCCCTCGCTCTACGTCTCTCAAGGGAGTGCAAATTAAGATGCTTTAACCTGTCTCTATACTCAAGGTTCCTAATGCCTGGGATTAGTCTTGTCATTCTCCTCTGAATTCTTTCCAAGGATTCTATATCCATTCTGTAATACGGTGACCAGAACTGAACTGCGTAATCCAGGTGTGGACTCACAAGAGCAAGATACAGTTTTAGGATGACCTCGCTAGTCTTGTAACTAACACTCCTTTGTATGAACCCAAGTACTTTATTAGCCTTGTTACGAGCAAAAACACATTGTTTACTTGGCTTAAGGTTCCTACTTATCATTACTCCTAAATCCCTCTCGCAGTCGGATTTCTCTATGGCATCGTTGTTCATCTGGTATCTGGTTTCCCTGTTTACATCTCCTATACTGAGTACTTTACATTTGTCGACGTTGAATTTCATCTGCCATTTTTCAGACCATTCGAAAAATTTGTTTAGATCTTCCTGTAGTTTTGCCGAGTCCTCGTCAGATTTGATAACACGTCCTATTTTAGTTTCATCAGCAAATTTACTTATGTTGCTGTCTATGCCGATATCTATGTCGTTTATGTATATAATAAACAATAATGGTCCAAGTACTGAGCCTTGGGAACTCCACTTGTGACGTTGCTCCAATGGGACTTAGTGCCGTTAATGCTCACTCGCTGTTTCCTGTCCTGTAACCACGCCCTAATCCATTTAAGGATGTCACCTTTGATGCCATGAGCTTCTACCTTTCTAATTAGTCTTTCGTGGGGGACTCTGTAGAAGCTTTGCTAAAGTCGAGATATACCACATCATAATTGTGCCCCTCGTCCACCGATTCGAAAACTGATGAAAAGAATGTTAATAGATTAGTTAGGCAAGAACGTCCGCTTGTGAAGCCATGCTGGGAATCATTGATCAATTGCTTCTCCAGGTGATTTCGAATAGAGTTTGAAATGATTGCTTCCAGTAATTTGCCTACTATTGATGTTAGACTGATTGGGCGGTAGTTAGAGGATAGTGATCTATCCCCCTTCTTGAAAATCGGTATTACATTCGCTATCCTCCAGGATTCTGGTACTACACCTGTTTTTAAGGACATGTTAAACAACTTTGCTAAGGGCATACTGAGCTCTTCCTTACATTCCTTTAATACTCTGGCAAATATCTCATCGGGACCAGGTGACTTATTAGGCTTTAGTTTGTCTATTTGCTTACTAACATCGTTACTAGTCACTACTATCTCACTTAATTTGTTTTCTTCACTACCTCTGAATAGAGTCGGTGCCTCGGGTATCATGTTTAAATTTTCGGTGGTGAAAACTGTTGAAAAATATTTATTCAAATTATTGCTCATTTCCCCGTCGTTATCAGTGAGCTTGCCGGTATCTGACCGTATTGGTCCGACTAATTACCCAAATGTAGCCGCTATGAAGTCAAATAATGGTCCTACATGAATAAATCGGACTGCCAATCACTTCTCGACTAGTATTTGGTGCCACAAAGTAAAAAAAATGGAAAACGTAATTTAATCTGAGTTAATAGAGCGCGTGCATGTACCGAGGGAGTGAGTAATTACCCAAATGTAGCCGCAATGAAGTCAAATGATGGTCCTACAAGCGTAAATCGGGCTGTGAATCACTTCTCGATTATTATTTGGTGTCTTAAAGTCACAAAAAATTGGTAAACTTAATTTAATCTGAGTTGTGTTGTGTTGTGTTAGGTTACGTACATGCACTCGATCTATTAACTCAGATTAAATTAAGTTTACCAATTTTTTATGACTTCGTGACACCAAATACCAGTCGAGAAGTGATTGGCAGTCCGATTTATTCATGTAGGACCATTATTTGACTTCATTGCGGCTACATTTGGGTAATTAGTCTGACCCGTCAACATTGATTAAGCAACATCATTTATCAAAATGAACCAAGAACATCCATCTAACGTTAACTAAATGTATTCTAAGATAATTTGGATAAGATTGTTAGGTTTGTTTGATTCTTTTTGCCTGTTTTAATTGCGGATCTGTAATTTTTTTTTTACTGATGCCAAGATGTGAGGAAAATGATGATCATGATGCTCAGATATTTATGCAGGAACCTTGACTAGGTATCAGTGAAATTTAGGTGATAAAAAGTCACTTAGTGATTACAGATACGGCAACCGTAAGCCAAAAATCACACTGGGTATAGGTACAGCAGCCGTATTGACGGACTGTGTTGCTATTGGTATGTTTAGGTTTGGTTAGGTTAGGTTAGAAAGAAGGCTATCTTTTCCTTGTATAGTCTGCCTACCAAAGATGCGCATTAGGCTGTTGTACCAATAGATATCGATGTTTCTCATATAGCTGCTGTACCTGTATCCTGTGCCAAAAAGTTATTAATGTAGCTACATATGAATTTGGTTCCCGTGAGAGAGGGTAGATGTGTTTGACCATTGAAGCATATTACATCCTCAAACTTGTGTTTTATTTTTTATTTGCACATATCTTTCTTTTTCAGTTATTGCTTACTGGACCACTAGCCCGGTCATTTGTGCGATGGCAGAGTACTTCTGCAAGTGGTGCTGCAGTTAAAAAGAGTGGTGTTTGCTTTGGTAAGTGTTTTGAAAATGCTGTGGTTGCAAGGGCTAGAAAATGTTAATGATATATCCACTTGTGTCTAGGTTTTAGCTTGCCATCAGCTTCAAAGTAAAACATGGTAATCGAGGTGTTGTGATCATTTTTAAAGGATTAAATCATTGTACTTGAGGTGTTTTATGGGGTATTATTTCAGTTATGTACAACCATCTCATTTTGGGATTTTGGCATTTGCAATCTATGGATCTAATAATTCTATAACACTTGCCTCATAAATGTCAAATAACGGAGATATTGGATGTGTTTTATTCTCTTGTTATTATCATATACGGGGACACCTGTCACCTGCTCACTTTGTATACAACTGTAATGAGACGAATCTCACAAGAAGAGAATTACATATATAGGTAGGAAGTATAGAGAGTAGGAATGTAAAGATAGGAAACTTGGTAGCGTGGCCTGGATGTTATTTGCACAGCGTCACTACGCTTATCTTATCTCGTATGTCAATACACATATATCACTTTTTATAGGGACAACTTGTTAAACACCTCTTGATACAACTATTTATTACTTCACTCAATGACATGGACACATTAATATCACTATTATATCGGGGTACTAACACATTATGCTTTACGTTACTTGACACTGACTCTCGGACACACCTGAATGAATACACTTCCCACAGTAGGTAACTCACCCTAGGACGTTCTGACAAGACTCACGTGTACCCTGACGTAGGCCCAGTGAGTGCTGGCTGGGCTGCCTCCTATGGGAGAGTCTGCTTAGCTGGCGATGCCGTGGTCTGGTCGGGAGGTCTCCCTCCCGACCTGGGGAGGGGACGTGCGTGACTCTGCTTAGTGAACCGAGTGACGACCCGAACGGGAGGGGGATGACAGCAACCAGAATGAGAATCAGTATGACCAGAATCAGAATGATAATGATAATGCCCGTGGACGGGACTGTAGGGCCTTTATATGGGGTCGGCCCAGCCGGCTTCTGACCTCTAACAATTAACACTAAACTGGTTTGATCTGGATAGCTGTGTGCAGGTGTGGTTCTGCCCAGGTGTCTTGGTTAGGTGCGGTTTGTAAGTCACCCGGCTCACGTCATTAGCAGGCGAGGTCAAGTCCCTTGGGTCGACCTGAGGTGTGTCAACCCGGAATGTGGTGGTACCACGAGGTCTGCAGTGCTCTTGCTGTTATATGCGGCATAATTCTGGGCTGTAAGGTTTGGTCTGACAATCACTCATTACACAACTGACCCACTCTATCCGAGCGTACTCGCATGTCCACAAAAAATGTAAAATTACGTCATGACGCTTCAACAAAGTTGCTTTCATTGGTATCAGATATCAAAATAAGTATAATGTACTTTGCTGTTATTAATATGGCCGTCTAGAAAGTTAGGTAAGGTTAGGTAGGTTTCTTTGGTTGGCTTGGTCAGGTTCTATTAGGTTCATTATTATTTACTTGCAATGGAAGAGTATAGAATGAAAGTTAGTCAAAATGATGAGATATATCTATTGCATGTGTTAAATATCCCAGATTCTATGGTTGTACAAAACTAAAATTTTACTGTTTTTTTTGTACTTAAGGGATTAAGCAGGAGTTAGAATGCATCCCATCCACTCTTCCATCTTTGTATTGTGTTGTTCAAGTACAGTAAGGAATTCCAACCAATAACTATGCTCGTTTTCAATTGTAAGTTTTCAAATTAACCATATTATTTGTGATTATCTTTCTTTGATGATGAAGACTGTCCGGTATGGTGCTTAAATGTTGCCGATACTTATACATTCCCCCTTAGTTAAATCAGAGATTTTTTTTTTTGCCATTAGTACTGTTTTATGGCCATTTTTATTACAAAATATATTTGTAATTAATTTTTTTTTTATTTGTGACCAATTTACTGGATAACATTCACTATTAATCTTTGTATAGATACAGTAACGTAGTAATATACATACTTCTGGAAATTTTGTTGCAAGACCTGTCAGATGAACAGAGGGAGATGCAGCAGTTGGCCAGGAAGTTTTCTAGAGAAGAAATCATTCCGCGAGCTGCTGAACTAGACCGCACTATGGAATACCCATGGGAAATAATTAAAAAGGTGAGTGATTATTTAAAACGATGATAAAAATATATGTAGGGTAAATAAGTTCATTGAGAGAATCATTGATGACATAAGTTTATGGGACTTGACATGTGAGAAGAATGATGGGTCTTGGCATGTGAGAACTTTTGAGAAGAATGATGGGGTCTTAGAATGTGAGGAGACTGATGGGTCTTGGAATGTGAGGAGAATGATGGGTCTTAGAATGTGAGGAGACTGATGGGTCTTGGAATGTGAGGAGAATGATGAGTCTTGGAATGTGAAATAAATGATGGGTCTCTATTAAAGGTTTATTATAATGTAATTGAAGGTTGGAAAAATATGGTAGGCAGCACAAGAGAAGGATGGAGTTGGTGCAGTAACAGAGGTAATGACCAAGCTACCTCATTTTAAGTGGTGACTAATCTGTCAACTGGAAATCTGATTTACATGAGATTTGAGAATTCTAAATTTGGAGATTAAGAATCTAAAATAATTTTCGTTTATTAAATTTTTCACACACATGAGAGTAAATGAGAAATTGGATGATGTGACAACTGGCCGCGTGACTGTGTGTGGTGGTGAGAGCGACCAGTCTATGTACTTGTTTTCACTGGAGTTTGAGGAGTAAGTTATTCAGTGATTATAGGAGAATGTTGACACATTGAAAGCCTGATTGTAGACTTAAAACATTGAGATTATTAGAGAATAATGAAGTAAGTTCATGTACAGGTAGTCAGGTGCAGTAACTACAGAAACTAATACAATAATATACCCAAACTTACACAATTACTGTGGTTTATTACATGCATTCCTTGGACACATGTTCATGATGGCATCCACTTTATGAAAGCCTCTTGCTCCCAAACATTTTGGTCAACAGATAATTTACTGAATTATGTTTACCATGTTAATGGGTCGAGACCTAAGACTTCTACATGAATAGATTAATGTGACCATCAAGAACAAGTCCATGAAAGGGACCTTTGGAAGCAGTAGTCATCATTTAAAGTATAAATCATTGAGTAATTGTGTCCTACAAAACCCACTCTTCATCAAGCTAACAATATATTGTATTGTATTGTAAATGCTGGGGCCAAACACCATTCATTCTCAGTCATGAATTTACAGTCATGATTGCTTCCCTGTCTGCAGTGAATAATTGTTGAGTGTTCAAGTAGTGTACTGTATTAGCTCAAAGTTAGATTTATTTGTTTATCATAATAGATAAAGATACTTTAATTTCCACTGGTGTTTTTAACACAATTAATTATTTTTCATTATTTTGATTAATTGTTATTATGCATTATTTTTGTAGGAAATGAGAAACATTATTATTGTATATCATCTTGTATCAATAGGCTTGGGAATTGGGTCTTATGAATGCTCACATCCCAGTTGAGGCTGGTGGCATGGGTTTAGGAACATTTGAAGGCTGCATTATCGCAGAAGAAACAGCTTATGGGTGCACGGGAGTACAGACAGCAATGGAAGCCAACAATCTTGCGGTAAGTAATCCCCTCTTTAGTTTTGTTGTTGGGCTCCTGTAGTATACTGTGTAAGCCTTGTTCTGTATATACCTCAACCTTTTTCATTCACTGCTAAACTAGCCCAAGAACTAATCAGTAAACTAAACATTACACTTAAGCAAGCGATAATTCAGTTCAGTGGTTTCTTTCAGCTGCATAAATCATTTGGCATTAGCCAGAATAAAATACTTAAGGGCTACATGGCTCTCTAAATGGTTAACTACGTACTTGTGTAGGGAGTCCCCTCTCTGCTGAATAAAATGGTCTGGCATTAGCCAAATAAAATCTTAAGAGTGGCATCCCTGTAGTGAAGGGGTTAAGAGCACTTAAGCTGTTTCATTTTGTATCCTCACTTAAAGGTTGACCATGATCAGATTCTTAAAATCACCATTTATTCCTTAGGGAGCAAATGGTTCTGGTTATGGTTCTTGGCCAAAATGGAGTGCTGGACACCCTCTTTGTATGTACTGTATACTGTACTAATTATTGCACTCACACAGCAATAAGTTTGCTTGCAGATAGTGTAACAACCTTTGATGGACATGGCTTCCTGCTAAGGGAACAGGGTGCTGAGTGAGTACTAAGAATCATGGAATCAATGCATCACAGCAGAGGCTTGGAAAAAATTTATTTCCTCTGGAGTATTTAAACTTTACCAAAAGCCTTCTTTTGCTTGGCCTGGTTATAATTATGCTGTCATATTTGCGATTGATGTATACCATTCCTTCTTACACTTCTAAACACACTTCTGAATCACTGTTCTTTCCAGTAATCATCCTAGTCTTCCTACCACCTAAGTTTATTATTTTAATTATTCCTCCTGCCTGTTCATATGCTAATGTTATTTTTATTGTCTGTATAAAGACCAAATTCAGACCATTATACCAGACCAAATTCAGAACCTTATACCACACTCCTTTGTACCCAAATGTTCTACAATACATTTCACACTAGTGATGATCATGGATACTTTGTCAAAATGCCACTCACAGAATGTCTTACTGTGTATCCTCATTAATTCCAAGTGTATCATGAGGGTGGAGGTCTCCTCTTGAATGTGTATTTTCATAGATAATAAGAGACACATTCTAACACCCACCAATTAATATTCCTTTCTTTTACATAACACAACTTACAGTATAGAGCACAGTGATGACTACAGGGTACACCATTTTGTGTTTCTACTGTCATATGAATCATCCCACATAATCTAACTGGCTTATTGTCTTTCCAACACACAGTTTGGTTTGGTTTTCCTCTTCACATTATGTTGCCTTGAAGAAGTGACATTTATTTGTATGTTTGCATAAAGTACGCAGTAAATTTGTTTTTGGTATCATCTAACAACTTCACGATTTCCAGGAGATGCCAGTGATCATAGCAGGAAATGAAGCTCAGAAGAAGAAGTACTTGGGACGCATGACAGAGGAACCTCTCGTGTCTGTAAGTCTTTTAATCAGTATCTTTCTATTGTTTTTGTGCCAGTGATGTCTCGTGTGCATGAAAAATGTTTGCTGTACAAAATCTTGTTAATACGGGCCAGGTTACAAAGTATCATTGTTCAGCAACATGTTGAATTACACATCTACTCCATCCAGGACAAAAGTTTCAAAATTTTTTATGTAAAGCTGTCTAAGCATACCTAAAGCATCTGACTTTCTCATCGTAGATGTATAGGCAGGAAGGGAGGGAGGTGGTGTATGGGAGGGTAGGGCTAGATGGAGAATTGGCAGTGTCGCATTGAGGTGGTGATTAAAAGTCTGCGATTTTCTTTTCACAGGAGAAATTGATTTTTAAATATACAGTACAGTGGTCCCTCCCTCGGTTAGATTAACGAAATTTCGGTTAACGAATTAGCTCCCATAAGGATTTTCAGTTCAATTAACGAACAAAACTTTGATTAACGAAAGCCTTACGAGAAACGCGTTTTGTTGTGCGCATCATCTGATCGGCTAGTCCGCCAATACAGTAATCGGTTCTAAGTTTACATTCGTTTCCAGTGGAGTAAATATCAAGAAGGTTGTGCTATTTAATATTTTTGCATTTTTTATATTAAAATTATTAGTCATTCTAAAATTTAGTTAACATATTGATAATAAAGACAGTACAGGGAACAGTTTTTGTGCGCCCATCAGCTGATCGAATCACCCACCAACACTTCTCAGTTTAACTTTATTTACAGTGGAGTGAACATCGAGTTTGGTCTCTTGAATATTTTTGCATTTTACATTAAAATTATTGGTCATTCTGAAATTTAGTTAACATATTGATAATATACAGTGCAGAAATTATTATGAAACACGAAGAAGGCAGGCATTAGAACCAATGTACTCTGTAAAGATATGGCATGTCATCATCGACTGCCTCTACAATCAACTGTTTGATATGTAAACAAAGCTGCCGGGAATACGACATATACACCTCAATGTAAGTTAAAATACAGTATTCTATTGTTTTTTTATTAATTATTGTGCAGTACTGTATTTAGTTTATATTTAATGTTTTGTTAATTCTATTACTGGTATGTATACTTTTTCTGTGAATTGGAACCAATTACCCAATGTCCCATGGAAATAATATTCGGTTAACGAAATTTTTGGTTAACGAATGACTCTGTGGAGCCAATTGTGTTCGTTAATCGAGGGACCACTGTACTTACGAGGCAGGCACAGGTTACACTCCCTTCTCAATTCTTTTTGTTCACAACTGTAGGTAGTAGGCAGCTACCAAACAGGGAGGTACTGCCGCCTGGGAAGATATTGGAAGCATAATGTGTTGTCTAATGGTAGACCCTGGTGCCATATGGCATCACAAAAATTGGGACCAAGTCCCAGGTTGCTGATCTGACTTTCTGCTTTATTTACACACAATTGCAGGGTCTTAATTGTTTCTCTTACCATTGACAACGCAACATACATACTGTATATTGTTTCTCACTCTTGATCGTTTTTTATTTTTTATTTCTTTATGGTTATTATTATTATTGTAGTGTTGTTATTATTATTATTATTATTATTATTATTATTATTATTATTATTATTATTATTGCGGTGTTGTTATTATTATTGTCATTATTATTTTATTTTTTATTAAAAATGTTACTTCTCTGCATTATTATTATGATTATTATTATACATTTTCGCCCCCCCAGGCACCGATGTGGGTCAGTGACCTATGCCTGGGTGGGCTAATCCCCGTAGTAGAAAAAAAAATAAAAGTTTTATTTCCAGTTATTAGTACAGTTGTTTGTTTTATTCCCATCATACTGCATTCAACAATTTGATATCACAGGCCTTTCATGGGCATATCAAGATGTGTACAGTACGGTAATTTAAAATCAGTGTCACATGCACCTTTAGTGAATATAAAATTTAATTGAATTAGTGTCGTCAACTTCACCTCATGTCTTTTAGATGAAACTTTAAAAAAACAGATGTGGAGAAACATTTCTATACTACCTAATTCCCATGGTAGGATGTTAATGGTATATACAGTGTACAGTATAATTATAAACATTTCATACTTAAATTTATTTTAATAGGTTTCAGATTTAATGAGATATTAGTCCAGGTATTCATACACTAATGTAATATTTTGGTAATATTTTTGTGAAACATTAAGGAGAACATATTGTCACTGGTATTTTACTCCAGGCATATGGTGTGACAGAGCCTGGTGCAGGCTCAGATGTGTCTGCTATTCGCACTCGTGCTGAGAAAAAAGGTGACGACTATGTTATCAATGGTCAGAAGATGTGGATCACCAATGGTGGGGTTGCCAACTGGTACTTCCTGCTTGCTCGTACCAAGTAAGAACCTGATCAGAATTCTGATCTGATGCCTTTGATGCACAAATTACTTTGGTACTGTGATGGCAGCCAGCCTATGGGTGTGTGTGTGTGCTTGTTTTCTTATTTGTTTTATTACTGTATTCAGTTATTTTTTTATGAAACAAGTGAGTGACGTGTGTGATATACCTGTACAGTATAGTACTTGAAAGGGATGTTACAGTTCACCCATTTGTAGGTTTACCATTAGATATACCACTACAGTATAGTGCATTTTTTCCCAGCTGAGAAAAGATGCCCCACCCCATCCCCAAGAGTTAGAGCTGATTGGCTGTTGGAAACCTGTCTGATTTCATCCTGAAGTAATGATGATTTTTGAAATGAGTTTATTCATAATCTTTGGCATGACTGGTTCTGACAAGAAAGATATTTAGCTAAATTATATAAAGACACATACATTCATTATTACAAACATGAGCACATAGAAAGTTTATCAGGAATCTTATACTGTACATGAATTAACTGTTAAACTCTGGTAGTAAATTCACGCTTTCAGAGGATGCATTTAATATACAGTTAACCCTCACTTTACGCGGTCCCACATTCCGCGTTTCCACGTTTACGCGGTGCTCTGCCGGAACCCAGGATGCTCACATTCCGCGGTGCGTGTACCCCTTTACGCGGAGAGCGGATGGCGAGCCGCGCCATTTTTGGATCCAAACCTCCCGCCATCCGCCATGTTGTGTAAGTTGCGTGAACATGGTGCGCACAAGGTCGCCCAGTCATCAAAACATTACCAGTTCTTCACCCGCCACCCACCACAGCCGGCCCAAGTCAGTGATAGTGATAATTATGGTGAGGATATGGATTTATATGGACTTTGGGGAGTTTGACAAAGAGGCCCTGCAAGCCTCTGTGGTGGATAGTGATACAATTGATACAAGTGACACAGGTGAGGGCCAATACTCTGCCCTCTGCCTCGGAACGAACCGCCCATCCCCGTGTGCCCAGCCATTTTTTCTACTAATGTAAGTGTTAAAAAACCTAATATTATTGATATTTCTCTTAATTATTAATTGTGTGTGCATACCATCATAAAGTTAAGATAATATTTTTACTACAACATAGTTGTGTGTCGTCAAAAAGTGGAGTTTGGGGATCGGCCCGAACTCCATTTCAATTAATCCCATATGTTATGTTATTCACTTTACGCGTTTCTCACTTTACGCGGGACCCTCCGGGTTACATTAACCGCGTAAAGTGAGGGTTAACTGTATACTTATTTTTACCCACAATAAGACATATTAAGAAAAATTTTGAATTATCAATCACATTTAAATATATTACACGGCCGTCAGCAGAGGCGGGAAATATAACTACGAACAACTTCATATTTTTCCTGCCTCTGCTGACGGCCATGTAATATTTCAATGTGATTCTTATCTTTTAAGATGATAGTTTTTGCATAATGTAGTATTACTTATACGTAATTTGTCTTACTATGTCTTATTGTGGGTAAAAATAAGTACTGTATACAGTATATTAAACGCATCCTCCGAAAGCGTGAAGATTTCTGATAAACTTCCTACGTGCTCATGTTTGTAATTATGAATGTATGTGTATTTATATAATTTAGTTAAATATCTTTCTCGTCAAAACTGTCATCCCAAAGATTATGAATAAACTCATTTCGAAAAGCATCATTAGTTCAGGACAAAATCAGACAGGTTTCCAACAGCCAATCAGCTCTTAACTCTTGAGAATGGGGTGGGGCATCTTTTCTCAGCTGGGAAAAAATGCACTACTGTATAGTAGCTACTGTAGTGTCTCTTAGAGATGAATAGAGTCAAATGTTCAGTTACTATACTTGTGTTGCTACTGACTCTATATTTGTAAAATTGGCATAATATGATTACGTAGATATATTTGGGTTGGTCAAGCATGAAAACAGTGCTACAGAAGCAGTGCTTGGAAGAGTAATTAGCTATTAGTATTTGAAAAGATATAGTTTGGCATTAATAGATTTTGGTAAACTACTTCGAATATAGAATGAATTAGAATGTATTTACAGTAGTTTGGTGATATTAAAGGATGGAGTACTGGAAGAAGTTAAGGCATCCAAGAATTAGGAATGATGCTATAAATATAATGGGGAATGATGGAGAGTGAAATTCGAGAGGGAACTGTCCTTCAGAAGAGAGTAATTGGTGAACTGGGAAGTATCTTGCAGAAAGGAGTGTAAGCATGGGTGCAAAGAAGTAACTTGGGGTTATGCTTCTTACCTTAACAAACACATGGCAGCAAAACATGAACTAAAACAGAATTATCTAAACTTTAAGCTATGAATAAAAGTTACTGAAGGACTGCATATGGGGCTTACAGAATAGAAGGGGCAAGTAGAACAACAAATGGGATGTTGGAAATTGTGGAGAGGACAGTGTGTTTATAAATTATGGAGTGATGAAATGGGTGAAGAGAGGTACTGTATTTGCAGAGATGGTATGAACATGTGTGAAGGATGCAAGAGATGTTGGTAAAGGGACTGTACAGTAACACTGTAGCTGTTGAAGGAAGGATAATGGGGGTGAGAATAAAGAGATTAGAGTGGACTAAGGCATTACATTATATAGATTTGGGTTGGGTTGGAAGTTTTCTGTTATAACTACCCCCTTAGCATATGAGGACAAAGGCATGATGGATATGATGGTAACAATACATAGTAGGATTAATCAACATGTTTTTCACAGTCCGGATCCAAAATGTCTTGCTTCAAAAGCCTTCACTGGTTTCATTGTTGATGGTGACTCGCCAGGCCTGACGAGGGGAAGAAAGGAAGTGAATATGGGTCAGCGCTGCTCCAACACTAGTGGCTTTACGCTGGAAGATGTGGTTGTGCCGAAGGAAAATGTTCTTTTAGGTAACATTTGTTATGATGATTGTCTGTTCTTTTTCCATTGTATAGTGGATATAAGAGGATTATCTTTATAGATCTGATATACAGTACTGTACCTAAGATTTTTACATTTGTAATATCTCTTTGATTATAGAGATTGAAGTTTTATTCCTGTTATTTTAGAATCATATTTACACTACAGTATATTATAAGTGATCAGGAATTTCCCCACCAGTGACAAATTTATTTTTCATTGAGCATATTTTCCATAAGCAGTATAAATGTAGCTATTTTATGATCAGCCATCCTTCACTAGGCAGCTTGAGTATTTATGTTTTCTGTTGATATTTTTAGGTTGTCTTGGCCTCTAACTCTTTTATAACATAAGACCAGTGTTAATGGCTTTAGAAGTTTATCTCTTGTGAGGGGTTTCATGAGATAACTACTTGTCTCTGCATGTTTATATGCTCCACTTGTTGGGCTTTCCCCTTCTCTATTTTTTCATCATAAGTGAATCATATCTTATTGTAAAAGGTCATAAATGCTTACTTGATGTAGCAGCAGATCAGTGTTTAGAATATTGAAGCAAGTGTTCAGTTATTATTTCTGAATAACCAATGAAAACTGGACGATTTTTTTTTATTAAATAATTTTTACCTCTTACCAACTTACTAGCCATTTAGGCAGTTGGTCTATCCAGTGTTAATACAGGAGAAAACCGATTTTTGGGAAACCTGTGATATTTGGTTGTGTCACACTAGATAATGCCCTTCTCACATGTGTCCAGGCCAAACTGAGCTCAAACCCTTAACATATTAGTCACAGAGAACTTGGTAAGTTAGACACTGATTTAGTTTTTTCTTTTTTTTTGTAAGACTGCATGTGGCTCTTAAATTCATGAAAGTGGTTTATAATTTAGATTTGTACATGAAACATAATTAGAAAATAATAATTTCAGGTTAGAAAACTTGAAACTTAGTACAGGTAATGATATTTTTCAGATGAAGGAGCAGGGTTCAAGATTGCTATGGGAGCATTTGACCGCACACGTCCTCCTGTGGCTGCTGGAGCTGTGGGGTTGTCCCAACGTGCCCTAGATGAGGCTACTAAATATGCTTTGGAGAGGAATACATTTGGAACTCAAATTGTTAATCATCAGGTAATATCTTAATTGATGACCGCTAGAAGTGCGTCTTACAGAATTTAACTAAATTATTATATGGGAAAGACTTAAAGAGATTTTCATAAATTTTCTTTTGAGTTATCAGTACAGTACAGTAATACTCTGCTTAGTGTTCACGATATGTTCCTGGATAATAGAGCACACCCAAAACAGCATTCTAAGGGGGTCATTATACCATGCATGTATGGAGATGCGTTCCTGATGACGTTATTTTTTACCTATGAGATATACATGTATAGGATATACAGTATTGTATTTGAAGGGTACAGGTATTAATAAACACAGATTATTGCAGTAACATATATTTACTAATTATTGAATAAAAAATATTGTATTATGAATGACAGTTGTTTGATGAATAGTAGTGATGATTGTAGTAGACTGAGTGAGAGACGCAGTGGGTGGGAGGCAGTGGATATCATATGGCTCTGTTCTGGCTGAAGCTAATCCATCTCTGGTAGTGGTGATGATGGAGATTGTGGCAATTGGTAACAGCTGATATCTACCCACAAAATTGAGTATAAGTAGAAATGAGCAACGTTGTATCCATTCAACATTATGTTACATAGAATTAAAAAATATGGAGAGAAAGCAGAAAGGTGGGGGACTGAGGGTGATTAGAGAGGTGCAGCTGCTCTCCTACCCGCCACAACACTTTGTGCTTCAGTTAACCACGCACAATTTTATGCTGTTAACTTTGTGGTTGTCATGGCCTGAAGCCTTTATCTCGTTTGCATTCTTAATAATGGTTCTAACAGTCGATGTAGCCAGTTGAAAGCAGCACCGACATCCACCTGATGCTCACCGGCTTCCAACTGTTTCAACACTTGTAATTTTACAAGCAAGGAGATACTTTTCCGTGGCACCTTAGACGCACTAGCAGCATTAAAATTTGCAGGCTTTCTTCCAGACATGATGAATAACATGGTCACTAATATATAAAAAAAAAACTACAAGTCAACAAGCGCAGCAAATTTGTACTGCACCGTATATAGTGTGTTTGGTGCTGATTGGCCAAGTGCATAAAACAAAGAGAGCATCTTTTAGTGTGTTGTGAGTGTTCTGACTCATGACTTTTGACTATTTTTTTTTTCTTTCTCTCCCTAGAGTTCCAAGATGCAAGCAAGAGCACTGTAATGAAAGAGTGCTCTATGGGGGTACAGCTAACTGGGGTATTACTTACTGGTAAATTGATGGAATGTTTTTAATGAATTTAGATATGAGAAATGTAAAAAAAATATTACCTTGTTTTGTGTAATGTAATACTGTACTGTATTTAACTGCGAGTAATAAAAAAGTATCAGGGTGTCCACCAGAATGCCTACCAATAACAAAACAATACATTTCATAAACTAACACAGATAGATTCGTGTGGTTTTCACTAAAAAATGCAGAAACTCACTAAGTTTTCCCTCTCATGGTTCAATTTCCCACACCTCTGTCTTCTCATGTGCTTCAGTGTGTAGTCAGCTGGCAGAAAGGTGCTAGTCACAGTACAACAGAAAGTGCATTGTTGTTTTTGGTTGGCTGAATTCAAGCTTCCACAGAGAGGAACATTACATTCATTGCACGTGTAATATGTCATCTGGTGTGTGTGGGTGTAAAAGGAGATTCATCCCAGACCCACCGAGTGTGACCTTAAGCAGGCGTGGGACTGGGACATGCTGTAGGGGGTTGCCGAACAGCTCCTTGTGCCACCCGGTGACTACTATCAAAGGACTGACCATCTCCCTGACTATATGATTGAACAACCTCTCCCTCTCTTAAGTGAATGCTTTGTTACTGTAAGATTTTTTTCTTTCTATCCGAGGAAGAACTTTGCTTACCACACAGTTTCCTTTTAGAAATCGGTCCAGGCTAGGGATCATCTTCGTCATTATCACTTGAACATGATATATTATGCTCCTTACCTTTTGTTTATTTCAAAAGATCCCTCTCATAACCACTTTCACTATCATCAGAGAGCATCTGAATCAGTATCAATACTATCCATTAGATCAAAAAAGTAATTATCTTGCCCAGACAACTCCGTGGCAGCGGCCAAATTTCGAACTGCTCACCTTGACATCATGAAACATACGGACATGTCTGTGTGGTATATGGAGACAAAAACAACCCACACAATTGGCAACACTGTGAGAAACCACTTTCTGCACCACCAAATGGGTGCGGGCAATTTAAACACCAGATCACCTATACGTGACACCCGTTGTCTATGGATAAAAACTCTGTGGCAGGTATACATGACACCTGAGGCGAAAGGGTTAATTGAGACAATATGTGTGTATGTTGACAATGAGCTGAAGTTCTCAGGCCATTGCAAGAAGGTGAATCAGGCAACTAAACTGTTTAGTCTTATAAAAAGGTCGTTCAGATATCTAGACGGTCCGTCCCTCATAATGATGATCTTCAAGAGTGAGGTGCTTCCCCGCCTGGAGCACTGTCACCCCGTCTGGTCTCCGAGATATGCTAGGGACTGTCAGTTGATTGAAAATGTCTAAAGGAGGGCCACCAGATTGGTGCCTGCACTTTGGCACCTCAGGTACCCTGAGAGATAGAGTGTCTTAAATTGTCTAGCTTATACTACAGATGGGCAAGGGGGGACCTAATTGAGGTGAATAAACATCTCAAAGGGCACTACTCAGTCAAGTGTCCTTACCTGGAGCTGGCGGACGCTCGCCCCACAAGAGGTCACAGCTCAAAGTTGAAGAAGCTGCAAGCCCAGAAAACAGTGAGGGGTAACTTTTTTGGAGTGAGAGTTGTGAACTCTTGGAACAATCTGCCAGAGTGTGTTGTGGCTGCACCGAGTGTGAGCTCTTCCAAGACCAGACTTGACAAGCACTGGAGCAGGTTCAGATACATTCAGGAGCAAGTGCATGCCCAGTACTTGCCAACAGTGCGTAACAGAGACGTGACTGATCGCCCAAGCAGCTAACGAGCCGATCAGTTGTGAAGAGGATAATAGTAAAAAGTAAAACAATAATAGTAAAGAATTTTATGGTTTAGTCAATTTTTCAAGAACACATCCCTTCCATAATGTAGAGGATGCCTGTATATCTTATTACATGATATTGCTCTTAGGGAGTACAGTACAGTATGTGTAGTTGAAATAAGTCATATGATGCCAGGACTACACTTTTGTCTTAGTTTTAGAGTGACCGGGGTCTTCATACTTATGTATGGTACTGTTTCTCTGGGCTTGGGTATGGCAACAATACTGTATTATGGACTGTTCTTCATAAATTCCAACCTGTTAGACATCACACAAGATCATGTAATGAAATCAACCAACTCTTTACCATTTCTAGGCTTTACTTTTCCTACTTTTTAAGGGAATAATTTCCACTGATTTGACTTTTTTTGGGGGGTGGGGGGCTAGTGCCATGTACTTACCAGGGAACTTAGCATATGTTGTTGTGACATTATAGGTGAGTTACATAAGTGATGAATTTTCAAAGTTTTGTCTCCGTTTGTTACTTTATAAAGGAAGGCCTAATGTGCTACAGTACAGGTAGATCCTGTTTAACACTCTTGGGGTTTTCTTATGCAAAATTGTGCAGGATATAAATATCACTTGGGTTTTTTACACAAATTTGTATGTGAAGTCAAGAAATAAAATAAAATAATTTTGTATTTGCGCATGAATGCTAGATACGCAATATGCACATTTAGCAACATCGGCATGATCTGGCATCTGAGTAGACTGCTCTCCAAGGTTAGGTTATCACACTAGTCTCTGTTTGTGTTTTAACAATACAGGACAACCTTGACCCCCAGTTCCCCAAGCATTTTCTCGCGTATTTTTTGTGCATCACGGTGATTTCATTGATTCATAACAGTGTTGCAAGAGTTTTGAAACATGCCTCGTGTTGCTGGTGAGGGTGGAGGGGTGGGTAAACATAAAAAGTGCAAGGAGATTGCACCATGTGGTGTTAGTGTTGTGCCTCCTGATGCCTAAGAATCCCTCTTAGCCAGAACTCTCCAATAGCCGGTTGAAAATAAGGGAGATTTTCTGAAAATTCTGAGAAAATTTCTAGAAACTCCCCAAAATATTCCGGGTATGGGAATAAATTCCAAGGATGAAATAACGTGTCATTCTGGAAAATTCTGTGAAAATTCCGATAACTCTTCCCATTTTTTTTCTGGGCCTGGGAGCAAATTCCAATGCTTTCACTTCCTGCACTTCAGTACGTTCAAGTGCCAATTCACAGCTGTTTTGGCAGGAATCAGTGCTGTAGCCACCTGACCACTGCGCTCCATCTCTTGGAGAAAATGGTCATATTCCCTGGAAGATATGAGAAATCTGTTGGAACTAATGACTTCATTGTGTTGGTATGCCAAAGGAACTCATTTTATGAACGAATATTGTAAATGTGAACATATGAGGAAAGATAATTTTTTAATGTCAATGTGTTGAAAATGAATTGGGGAAATACTTGGTGAAATTAATAAAAGATCTTAATACAGTATAGTATTCCATGTATCAGAACCACCACCAATCATAAGAACATTTCTTTGGCGAGTCTCAAAGGAAAATGGCTCTTCTTTTTAGTGGAGAGAATTCAACAAAGCCAGTTAAAATTAAGTACTGAAGATGTGGATGAGTTTAGAGGCCACCTTCTAATATTAAGAGTAGATAATCTTAAAACTCATGTAAGGGAAATGGAGAAATGAAAAAAATGTAAATACAGTCAGCCCTCCAAATTCGCTGGGGTTAGGTTCTCAAAATGGCTGCAAATTGCCATATCTGCGAATAATATTTGCTCACAAGGAGGGGGGGGGGGGACATTTTTACTTGTGTACAAAGAAATGTATGTTCCCTTTATGTGTTTTCCCTTAGGACAATTATTCCTTTTACTTGTATTGTACATACAGTGTGTGTGTGTGTGTAACACACACACACACACACACATACACAAAACATATACAAATAAATAATAATTGGAAAAATCCTCTCACAAACAATCAGAAGCAAATTCATTAAAAATGTGACAGTCTACTCTCAAGTCTATGCTTTTTTGATACAGTCCGTGCTTTATTACTAATAAAGCACGGACTTGAGGGTAGACTCACATTTTTAATAAATTTGTTTCTGATTATTTGTGAGAGGATTTTTCCAATTATTATTTATTTGCATGTGTTTTGTGTGTGTGTGTGTGTGTGTCTACACTGTTTGACTCCCGTAATTGTTACTTGATGTTTGTTGAGTGGTGTCAGAGCTTTGTTATATTTTTTATAGTAAAGAGATGTCAATCTCAAACGGTTGTTTGTTATTCCTCAGAAAACCATGGTCCTTGACTTTCCTTTATTAAGATCCTGATTAGTCTGGTAAGGGATTTCCATCCCTAAGTCCTAGGCCTTTACAGCAGTACAGCTATATATCAAGAGTAGGGCCAGTCCCTAACCTCTGAATTTTTTATGTTCCTTAGGGATTAATTGCTTCGGTAACTGTGATAAAACTAACCAACAAATTTTCCCGGTCCCTATATGCGTCTAATCAACGACTTTTCCCGGTCCCTATATGCGTCTAATCAACGACTTTTCCCGGTCCCTATATGCGTCTAATCAACGACTTTTCCCGGTCCCTATATGCGTCTAATCAACGACTTTTCCCGGTCCCTATATGCGTCTAATCAACGACTTTTCCCGGTCCCTATATGTGTCTAATCAACGACTTTGCCTAGTCCCTATATGCGTCTAATCAACAACTTTTCCTGGTCCCTATATGCATCTAACCAACAACTTTTCCTGGTCCCTATATGCGTCTAATCAATGACTTTTCCTGGTCCCTATATGCATCTAACCAACGACTTTTCCTGGTCCCTATATGCGTCGGTTATAGGGGTATGCCTGCACTGTACTTAGAAATGTTAAAATTTTGTTTGGTGCAGATAGGTTAAAAGTACCGTGTGTTTTTTTTTTTTTTTTTTCCCCCTTGGGAGGTGGCCCTCCTATTTCTTAATATCTCATAATTTGCAAGGGCGAGAGCCCCCTATTATTTCGAATTATGGGAGTTTTACTGTAGAATGATTTGATGTACACTCAGAATACCGAGTTACATCTTTATTTTGCAGGCCATATCATTCATCTTGGCAGAGATGGCTATGGATACAGAGTTAGGACGCCTGGCTTGGATGAAAGCAGCTTGGGAAGTTGATCAAGGCCGCCGCAACACTTACTACGCATCCATCGCTAAAGGTTTTGCAGGAGATGCTGCAAACAAAGCAGCTTCTAATGCTGTCCAGGTAAGAAAAATTGAACAATAATTGGAAGGAAGTTATTGAATGTAAACATGTAAACCATCGAGTAGTGGCAAATGTTACAAAGATGAGTTCACATCAATTTTTATCTTCTATTTTGCCTTGAGTTTAGTTTGTGACTTGTTGCTTTTGTCATTAATGATAATGTAGTTTAGCTCATTCGGATGTAATGCAAACAATACTAATAATGAAATGTTGAGGCAAGGGTGGAAATGCATATACAGTACTGTACAGTATATGTACAGTGACCCCTCCGTTAACGAACTCAATCCGTTCCAGAAGGTTGTTCGTTAACCGAAAAGTTCGTTAACCGAAACCATTGTTTCAATGGGTTTTTGGGTAATTGGTTCCAGCTCACCGAAAATTTCCTAAATTCAACAAAAATGGTAGAAAAGTTCACTTACTTTGAGGTGTGTATGTAGAAGGCTCCTGGATGATGATGATGATGATGATGATTAGGGCCCGGATAGTTATGCATTTGCATATTTCATATGCAAATGCATATTTTGCGTGATTTCTATGATAAGTGCATATTACCTAGATAACTGCATATAAATGCATATTTTGGTAAAATATTCATCTGGCAGTATCTCTTTGTTGCCACTGAATGAGCACACGTGGTACTAGGAGGTGAGGTGAGGTGTGGTTAGGTGAAGTGAGGTGAGGTCACGTCGCTTTAATCTGTCGTTTCCACACCTGGTCATGACTCATTGGACTAGTGAGTTAGTCAGTCAGGAGCAGTGCTGCTGTGTGGAGCTACTCTCTTCTGCTGCTCGTGAAAATGCCGAAAGTACAAAGAAACCAAAATGAAGTGCTGAGATCATATGTAAAGGAATTTGATGCATTTACTACTGATGGAAGTGTACTGTTTTGTAAATATTGTGAAGCACCAGTGACAGCGAGCAAGAAATTTCAAGTCCAACAACACCTTAAAACAAGCAAGCACATCCGACTCGAAGCTGTTAAGTCCAATAGTGCACAAAAGGAGCAACAACTACTTCTTGCATGTTCCAGTAAGTCAGGGCCTGATCGTTCCCAGTTCAACGCAGATTTGTGCAAGGCATTTGTTTCAGCGGATATTCCATTGCATAAACTGAATAACAAGTGCCTAAAGTCATTCCTGGAACAGTATACTGGAAAAAAGGTGCCTGACGAATCAACATTACGTGTTGTACAAAAACAAGGGATTTGAAAAGCTGAAGAAAGTCAGTCAGATAATGTCTGGTGATGCTATTATTGACGAGACGGTACAGCCACTCACTATGTCAGACCTCCTATGTATGAAACATGCACCAATCGTCTCGTGTGATGTAGAAAGGGTGTTCTCAGAATATAAAGCTATGCTGACAGACAACAGGCGGGGTTTTAACTTTGAGAACTTACGCCACCATGTCATCATCAAATGCAACCACAATCTGTAATGTCTGAAAATATGTCAGTCTATAATGTAAATACATGTTCATATATATATTTTTGAAGCACTTTCACATATATATGTTAAATACATTACGTATATTGCTTAATAAACATTAACATTAGTTTATATTAACTATTTTGTTTCCGTATAACCTGCATTCTTGGCTTTATAAGTGAAATTTTTAGTGCATATAAATGCATATTTCCCTTGTTTTTAGTGCATATTTGCATGCATATTTCATGGTTTTTTAGTGCATAACTATCCGGGCCCTAATGATGATGATGGGAATTACAATGGGGGTGGAGGAGAAGGAAGAAGAGAAGGCATTGGGGTGGAAGAGAAGTCACCCCATAAAATTTTAGCTCTCGGTGTAATTCAAGATTATTTTCTTTAAATCAACACTGCACTGCATTATATATTGTCAATATGTAAAATATATTTCAAAATTACCAATAATTTGCTTGGAAACACAGAAAAAAAAGTGTTTAGTTGAAGAGAGTCTCAAGCAAGATGTTATCTCCAGTGAAAAGAGAGAGAGACTAACTCCTGTTTGCTGTGTTAAGAGGCTGGATACCGCGCATTAAACTAGCCACTTTACCTTCAATTATGTTCAATAATTGTTAAAATGACTAAAAAATTGAATATTAAACTTTTAAAATTATTGAATAGTATAAACTTCTTGATATTTACTAAAATAGTAAGGAATTTAAGCCCAAGAACCGATTAATGTATTGGCTGACTGATACTAAAGCTGGTTGCCCGGTCAGTGCAAGCGAAAACATGTTGAGGTCGGTTCGTAAGAACTTCTTTAACCGAATTTTTTTTTGTTAACCGAATTGAAGATCCTTATGGAAGGCAGTTCGTTAATCGAAATTACGTTAACCGAGGTGTTCGTTAAACGAGGGGTCATTGTACTTGGTGCTTTGATTTTGTGAAATTTGATTCTTGCTAACAAAACATACTCGTATATGGTGTACAACTTCAATTTGTTGCTAGATGTACTTCCCCTTGCAGTTCTGCTGGATCTGCTTCAGCAGTTTAGGTTGTATTGCTTCCACCCACTTACCAGATTACTGTACACACACTCCCAGGGTCACAGATGACTCAATGCTTTTGTAGTGACTGAAGAATAATATAATATAATGTACAGTAATTATGTAATGTAATACCTGTATATACCGTGTAGTTAACAAATGCCTATAATTGTTGTAACTAGCCATTCTGATCATGTAACTGTTGTTGAGTCGGTTGGCTGAACTTGGTTCGAGACTTGAGCTGAGACAGCTTCTCTCAGTCAGCTGGTATATATACTCATGGGCGACCTCGGAACTACCACTCGCTCTCGCTCCGTGCTAGAGCACAGTTCTCCTAACCACATCAATAAACTGGTAGATGTAGCCCGAGTTTTCCTGGACCAAATACTACATTGGTGACCCCGGAGTGACCGAAAAGACGCAGCCCTGTTACCATGTCAGTACCAGGCACATCCGGTGCTGCTCCAGCTGCCGACGACACTGCTGTGCTGTCTACCGTCGCCCGTCCTGCTGTTCAGGCTTTCATTGGCTCTGACCCGAAGCTTTGGCTACTGCAGCTCAACAGCTACTTCACGGCATGCCGAATAACTGCATCTGCCACAAAGTACCACCATGCCGTGTCGATGCTTACTGCCTACTGTCGCCATGGAAGTACGCGACATCCTCACGGCACCCCCGACGGAGGAGCCTTTCCAGAAATTGTGTATGGCGTTACGGTCGAGGCTGGGCGCATTGTCTCGACAGCGTATGCAGCAGTTGTTAAGGGACAAATTCCTTGGCGACCATAAACCTTCCCAGCTCCTGCGAAGCCTCCGCCACTTGCTCTCCACCACCGGCACCACATCGGAAGACCTTCTCCGTCCGTTGTTCCTACATTGTTTGCCAGCCAATGTTCAGGCAGCGCTATCCATATTTCCAGAGAACACCTCATTGGATGTCATTGCGGAGTCTGCTGACCGCTTCATGGAAACGTCTAGTTCTATGACTGTCAGTGTCTCATCTGTGACACCAGCACCACAAACCTCTCCTACCTTGGCTCCAGACTATTCATTGCTGTCTCCACAGACCAAGGAAAACAGGCAGCCGGTCACAGTGCCAACCTATTTACTAGACGCTCTCATCGGTGCCCTAAATTCTGTCCAGATAGCGTCACGGCCTCCCTGTGAATGTCGACACCACCCGGACAGCCACAGCGGAAATTCAAAGCAGCGTCACCAGCAGCGGAGCCGATCACCCTCGCCTGCAGGCGGCAGATCGTCAGGACAGTCCAACAACCTGTGCTTCTACCATCGCCGTTTCGGTGACCGGGCCCTCCGTTGCCAGATGCCCTGCTCCTGGTCAGGAAACGAGTCGCCCTGGTCGTGAGCGTGGACACCACCCGGGAGCCAGAACCTGGCCGCCTCTTCCACCTCACAGATCGCTGTACTGGTATGCGCTTCTTAATCAACACTGGAGCGCAGTTCAGTGTCCTGCCTAAGCCCAGCGGCCAAGCAACTCCCATATCAGCCACCAAGCTATTGGTGGCAAATGACACCCGCATCAGCACCTATCATTGGTGGGCACAGCTTAACGAAAAGTTAACTTCGCTAATGCTAAACCGCTAAAAAAAATTAGCGGAAGCTAACGCTAACTTTTATTATATGAATTTAGCGTTTTTTTTTTTTTTCTCTCTCTCTAAAACCCTTAAAAACAGACCTAGAGAGCTGAAATTTTCATATGTTATATTGTAGCTTAGACAGAGCTTTCCAAAAAGGTATAGCATGCCAAGATCAGATGATGATCAAGGTGTACACAAATAATTAAATGAACAAATGAAATTAAACATTAGTTTACATTCAAGTTTCAACATACACTTAATTATCTTTTATTTACTGTACGAAAAGACAAAGTATTAAACGAATCCAAAAACTATAGTACTGTATAGCATAGGTAGCAAATAGCATCATGCCAAGATCAGATGATGATCAACTTATTGATCAACTTATCAAGGTGTACACTGTACACAATTTCACATTATTCATGTAAATATGCAATACCAACCACATACACATTATACCAGTGCATTTTTATATAACTTATTGTTGGTCTTAGTCATGTAAATAAACAGAAAACTCTAAACTTTAATGAAAAGTAAGTTTTTAGAAAATTTTGTTTGGCGCACACCTTGGATGACATCCTGGTTATGAACTTATGCAGTACTAAGCATAACCAAATAAATTGACGCAAAAAATTCATGTCTTGTCACGTTTACACGTACTAACACGCAGTCAGCCAAGCGTGCCTGACTGGCTGTTGGAGACACGCGTCGCGGCATCACACGCTTACAACAGACAGGAACAAACATGTATAAATTTTGTTAGCGGAAGCTAATTGGTCCGCTAATGGTTTCCAAAATTAGGGAAAACGCTAATCCGCAAACGAGAAAGTTAGCTTTGCTAATTAGCGGAACCGTGCCCACCACTGGCACCTATAGCTCCAAGTCTGTCACGCTGGATCTCAACTTTGGCCAACGATACACCTGATAGTTCTTAGTAGCTGTTGTCGGTTTCTCCATCATAGGCATGGATTTCCTGCAGCATTATTGCTTCTCAATCGACATGCAGCACCAGAAACTCTGCGACCTAACCACCCGGCGCTGCCTCAGTGGGCGGCCAGCCGCCATTGCATTTCTGGGATTCACAGCCGACTACTCGGAAAATTCCCCTTATATCAAGCTATTGGAGAAATTTCCGTCTCTGACATATTACAGTGACAGCCCTCTGCTGCTCAAACATGAAGTGGTCCACCATAGCCTAGCACCAGACAGACTCCACATCGCAAGGAGGGAGTTCAGTCAGATGCTCAGCCTGGGCATAATCCGCCCATCAAAGAGCACATAGTGCCCAAAAAGGAGCCCGGAAGCTGGCGCCCCTGTGGTGATTACCGCGCCTTCAATGCAGTGACAGTCCCTGACCGCTATCCATGACCACATATCCACGACTTTGCTGCCAATCTCGCTGGAGCTACTATCTTCTCAAAGATAGACTGCATGAGGGTTTATAACCAGATACCCGTCAACCCAGCTGAGGTTTGTAAAACTGCTGTAACTACTCCTTTTGGCCTGTATGAGTTTATCAGGCTTCCATTCAGCTCAAGGAATGCCAGCCAGACATTCCAGGGTTTTATCAATAACGTGCTGAGAGAACTGCCATTCGTTTCTTTTACGTCGATGACTGCCTCGTGGCCAGCCGTTCTGAGGAAGAGCATTTGCAGCATCTTCACCAGATCTTCGACCGCTTCCGCCAGTACGGGATCATCATCAACAAAGAAAAGTGCCAGTTTGGCGTCCCCGAGCTCTCATTCCTGGGATATCACATCTCGCAGCACGGAACAAAACCCCTGCAGGATAAGGTCGAAGCCATCACCGAGACCACCGCACGAGCAGTTGCCAAGGCCTTCGTCTCTGGTTGGGTTGCTCGCTTCGGGGTGCCCTTAACTGTGATGACCGATAGAGGCCGGCAATTCGAATCCAGGCTTTGGCATCAACTGATGAAACTGCTCGGCTCTTCCCGCATCCTCACCACCGCTTACCACCCAGCAAACAACGGGCTAGTTGAGCGGTTTCAATGCCAGTTGAAGGCAGCTATCATGGCCCAGTCGACACCAAGCAATTGGACCGGGCATCTGCCGCTCACTCTCCCTGGGATCCGGTCAGCCCTTAAGACCGATTTGGACTGTTCAGTGGCTGAGCTCGTCTACGGCTCTGCCTTGTGCCTTCCCGGAGAATTTCTAGCCTCCACATCTACTCCATCATTGCAGACTGGCTCGTACGTGGAGACACTCCGCAACTGTATCCGGTCCTTGCTTCTTACACCACCAAAGCAGAACTCTCAGAAGCAAGTTTTCATCGACAAGGCACTGGACAAAGCAACGCATGTTTTCGTACGACGAATGGCACCTGAACCACCACTGCAACGCCCCTACGATGGTCCCTTCAGGGTTCTCCAATGGTTGTCTAAGTTTTTTACGATCGACTGCCAAGGGGTTCGGCTCACAGTCACCATTGACCGACTGAAACCGGCCCACATCGACGAGGACACATATTCCCGGCCACAGCATAAACAGGCTGACCACCTCTGCCTCCGCAAGCGACACAGAACCTGTGACTAAGCCACCACTATGCTCATGTCTGCGGACGAGGTCCGGCCGTGTGGTACGGCCGTCGCTTCAGTTTCGACGCGTCGCTATCCTTACGATTGATCGTCAGGATTGGCTGATGTAGCGACTGAATAATAATGTAATATACAGTAATGTAATTATGTAATGTAAAATATACCCTGCAGTTAACAAATGCCTATAATTGTTGTAACTAGCCATTCTGTTCATGTAACTGTTGTTGAGTCGATTGGCTGATGTGGCTGAACTTGGTTCGAGACTTGAGCCCGATTTTTCCTGGACCAAATTCTACACTTTCATTAATGCTATTTACCTATATGCTCTTTTTATTGATGTTTATATGCCTGCAATTTTAACTTTTACTGTTACAATGTATAGTTAAAGTTACTTTTAGGGGTGAATTTATTGATCTGAACTGAGTCTTCACAGTCAGTTACAGCAACCCCTAAATCCATAGCATGTCAGATAAGTGGTCCCATACGTTTATAGTAATTGTATATACATTGTGTGTACTATGCGTGTTCAATGATTATCTATAAAAGGGTCACTTCCAGCTTACAAATAGACTCCAGGAGTGGAACTTATCTGTAACCTGAGGGGCGTCTGCAAATCGGTTGCATTATCCTGTAATAATTCTTTGAGATAAATGTACAGTATATAATAGTAACAGGTGCCACTAAAAAGAGTTCAGGCCTCCAATTAACTTAACCATGTCGTTATAGATTTTTTTGTTCAGTTTCTGTATTTTTCTGGCTAAGCAAACGGTTTCAATATCAATTGATTTTGGCCACCCTGCGATATAATTGAAAAGGGTCTAAAAGACAGCAGATAAATCAATCGAATTACAGAACAATGACACACAGTATATAGGATTTAAATTTCCTTTGAGGTTGTCCTTAACTGTTAAATATATTTCAGGTGTTTGGTGGCAATGGATTTAACACAGAATATCCAGTATCAGATAAGTGGTCCCATACGTTTATAGTAATTGTATATACATTGTGTGTACTATGCGTGTTCAATGATTATCTATAAAAGGGTCACTTCCAGCTTACAAATAGACTCCAGGAGTGGAACTTATCTGTAACCTGAGGGGCGTCTGCAAATCGGTTGCATTATCCTGTAATAATTCTTTGAGATAAATGTACAGTATATAATAGTAACAGGTGCCACTAAAAAGAGTTCAGGCCTCCAATTAACTTAACCATGTCGTTATAGATTTTTTTGTTCAGTTTCTGTATTTTTCTGGCTAAGCAAACGGTTTCAATATCAATTGATTTTGGCCACCCTGCGATATAATTGAAAAGGGTCTAAAAGACAGCAGATAAATCAATCGAATTACAGAACAATGACACACAGTATATAGGATTTAAATTTCCTTTGAGGTTGTCCTTAACTGTTAAATATATTTCAGGTGTTTGGTGGCAATGGATTTAACACAGAATATCCAGTAGAGAAACTGATGCGAGATGCCAAGATCTACCAGATATACGAGGGCACAGCTCAAATTCAGCGCCTTATTATCGCTCGGGAATATCTCAGTCGAGCCAAGATGGGGCTGATGTAAATGGTCCAACTCAATTTACTTTACAGATTGGAATGACAATCGATTCTACTTCAAAACAACACCTAATGCGTAGGAATTATAGTAATCAATTGACTCCTGCACCACATTGAATTATCTTTCTTCTTAGATGTACATTGTACATGGTAAATGGCAAGTAGGTAGATATCTGGATTTAGTATAAAGTATTTAGTACAAAAATGTACTACCTCACTTGAAAATAATACCATTTGTGTTCTCAACGAGTAAGCATATTTGCGAAGTACCCTGTATACAGGTAAGACAGGTGCCTTTACAGTAAATTAATTACAATCATGTTATTTGTAATTATTAAACTGTAAATTTATTTTAATTATTCAGTAAAACTTTCCTTAAAATAAAGCCAAGTAAATCTATGGTTGCCTTTTCTCTTGATCACGTGTGAAACATTTTATAAAAGAGAAAAATAGTAATGGTTAACCACTTGTACGGGGTGCCCTCACTGCCGAATAAAATGATCTGGTGTTGGTCAAACAAAATATTAAATCTGACATCCCAGCAGTGAAGGGGTTAATGATGATTAAAAAAAAAATTATCCCCATCCTAAAATTGTATTAATACTATTTAAATAATTTATCTTTCACTTATACAGCTAGACCCCGACTTACGACGGGGTTAGGGACCCAAATCCAGGTCGTAAGTCCGAATGGTCGTAGGTCCGACATAAAAATAAATAAATAAATAAAATAACAAAAAAAAAATATAAAAAAATCTACAATGAAATACAGTACAGTGAAAGTAATAAATAATGAGGAATGGATACAGTGTGACTGAGCACTTACCTTTAATGTAGTCAGCTGAATGCACATGGGGCCCCCATAATTTTCTAATTATACATGGAGACTACATTAACTGGAAACGTTTCGGTATAGAAAATGCGTGTGTCATTTGAAAATTATTATTATTTTTTTATCTATGTTGTAAGTCCCGACGGTCGTAAGTCGAAGCGGTCGTAAGTCGAAGCAGTCGTAAGTCGGGGTCTAGCTGTATTTTAAGATTAAAAAATTTTCAAGCCCTTTTTATGTCCCCTTCGCACAAAGAAGCCTAAGAAATTAACATTAATTGTTTTTGTATTACTGTAAATATATGCAGTTTATTAAATGACCTACCTGTAAGGTATACAGTACAGGTTGACAACCCTCTATCTGACACTCCGAAAACCGAAAAGCTCGGAAAACCGAAAGTTTTTTTGTGGAGCTTTTTTTTTTTTTTTTTTAAACAGGGATTAGCCCACCCGGGCATAGCTCACTGACCCACATCAGGTCCTGGGGGGCGAAAATGTAATAGTAATAATAATTATAATAATAATAATAATAATAATCATTATAAATAAAAATTTTAATAAAAATATGTACACCAAAATAAAATAATAATGATAACAATAATAACAATAATACTGTAATAATAAAATAATAATAATAAAGAAATACAAGAATGAAAAAAAGATCAAAAGTGAGAAACACGACCTAGACCTATGAATTATTATTATTATTATTATTATTATTATAATTTTTATTATATTTTCGCCCCCCAGGCCCTGATGTGGGTCAGTGATCTATGTCCGGGTGGGCTAACACACATTAAAAAAAAAAAAAAAAAAAAAAATTTAACCATTCTGAAAACCGAAAAATTTCAAGATGCCTCTGGCCCCAAGGATTTCAGATAAGGGATTGTCAACCTGTATTAGGAAGTACAGTCAAAGAAAAAAGTCGTGTTACACCTTCCTCGAGATACGTTCTGAAGTTCAAGGTTCAAGTCTGAACGGGGAATTTGACCGACATTCTTCGTCTTGGGTTTCAGAACATAGGCACAGTAAGTGTAATGTGACCTTTTTCTTTGATTGTACATACTGTGCTAGGTAATCCTCTTGTTTTTTAGAAATGTATACACTGAACTGAGTAAGTTATAAACTTTTCTGTTCAACTACCAATGCAATTTCATATTTTATGAGTACAGTATTTTAATATGATAAATGGAAGTAAAATTTAGCTATAAGGATTATTTTAATTTACCCTGAAGAAAAGAAGTTTATTAAAATTTGGTGCCAGAGGAAAACAGAACAGTACAGTACTGTACTTGGAGAATTAAAGTTAGATAATTTGATTGACAGTGAAAGAATTATGACAAGTATGGTATGTATGTTTGGTGAAGGACTGTTGAAACATATCTCCACCTGACAACAATTAAATAAAATACTTTTTGTAAGGAATTTTAATTAAAGATTGCATATCTTGTCTTTCTAAGCTATGCTCTCTAACAAAAAACAACTCGGATACATTTGAGAGAAATAATTCCCCATGACTAGATATTACTAAAATATGTTTATTGATAGATTTGTGACCCTGACAACACTAGCTTTGGTCACACACCTAATAGCTGGCCATCAACCCCCCTCTATCCCATTTTCTTCTCTTTCTCTTTAGTAGGGTAGTACAGTACATGTATCTGTATTTCTTTATTTTTACAAATACTGTACATAAGAAAGTTCATAAAACATATAACTCATGAGTAAAAATTAATTGTGAGAGGACTTGGTCACAACCGCTCAAGGGAACAGGTATGGGGCAGGGTGTTGCTATTCTCCTTGTACTGTACAATAGATTAATTTACTCTATCCTGTTCACCGCTGATCAACCTATTAGTCTTACCTTCCATGGATTGTAAAGAATTTTGAGAAAATAGTTTACAGTCTTTTTCAGGAGAATATATGTTTAAAATTTAAACATAATCAACAAACTTAAAACAGCTCTCAGTACATATTAAATATATACAGTACTGTATTAGAAAATTGCAATTAGAATAAAAAGCATTCAAAACTAATACTGTACCAAGTAATGTTCAGGCATGTGTAAAGTTTGCTGTGATGAAGACTTTATGGTCTACCTATGAATCACCTTGCTGTGTATGAGCCCTAGACTGAATTTTTGAGTCAATGTGAATGATTGAAATTGAGGACATCAAATCTGTGAATGTTAGGGATCATATGTGTAAAAGATAAATGCGTAATTATAGAAAGCTGTTTTAAGTTTTTGACTGTGAATCATGTGTCAGGAAGTGGGAAGGTGCTTCTAGGTTTCAAGCAGGGTCATGGTGAGGAAGAACTGGTTATATGAGGGTGTGCCCCTGTGGGCTAGCTGAAGGGGGCCGTGAGCTGCCCAAGTAGACCATGTGGCCGGCGATAAGCACTCCTCCCAGGTGTCCCAACCACCAGTCAAGACACGCTCCTGTGGTGGAATCCAAGAAATTGTTTCCTGATGTGGGGATGACCGGAGAGGTGGGGCTGTAGGTACCGTTGAAGGAAGGACTAGGCCTAACTGAGGGCATGGTATCGGGTAACACTCTGTGTTCTTGGCGAGCCTCGAGCTTCCTGGCTTTCCACAGCTAAAATTTCCAAGTCCCAGGCTTTGCAGGGAGTCAAGGGGTTGACCCCTGCCAAGCAAGCATCCAGTGTGATCTTGGAGCCTGGCAGGAAATGTGATTACCAGCGAGGAGAAAATGTGACGCACTGACGTGGCTTAGCCTGGTTGGGAAGCCGGGACTAGGAGCCTCGTCTTGCCAGATGAGGGGGACAGGCTACAGGAAGGGTGGCAGAGTGAAAGGGAATTCATGGATGCTCCACAAGTTCCCGAGGTTGAGCTGCTCTGCCTCACCGAGAGCAGAACACCAAGGTCCTGGTCCTGCTCGAAAACATTGGAGAATGCCGAGTGACAAAGGCAACAAAGCTGGGTCTGCTAATTTGGTACTGCAAGGGTGAAGCTCAGGAACTGATCGAGATCTGTGATTACTGGGATGCTAACAAAGGGTACCAGTGAGCCTGGTAGCTGCTGTGACAGTGCTACGGGAACAAGTGCCAAGCTGTGGTTGGAGAAACTGAATGGTGGGCCTGCTGTGGACCAGGATGACCAGGAGGGTTTCTGAAACATTGCGGTACCACTTGCGTAGCGGTCAGCTTGGAGTGGGTGCTGGGCTTCCGCCTGGGTTTGGAAGGAGCCATGGCCAGGCTGCTGCTTTAGTGCCAATGGAGGTCATGGGTTGTGGTCGAGAAGGGAGCCGCCAGCCTACATGTACAAGCTGATAGCAGCAGTGGAGGGGCGAAGGTGTCTCCAGCAGAAGTGAACCCATGGAGGGAATGCAAGGGGGTGCACCTGTTGTCAAGCTGCAGCAAGTTGAAGAGGGTGTTGGCGACGTCACTGAAAGTCTACCTGATACTCCAGAATCCGATTAATATAGGAGACCCGTAACTGAGAAAATTTTGCATGGGGTGCCCCAGGAGAAGGGGCCGATGTGTTGAGCCTGACCGGCTTACACTCAAAGGGGGAGGAGGGTGTTACCGCGGTTTGCACTGCCAGTGAGGGACACTAATGCCTCGTGATATGGCAGCAGTGCAAATAGGCCTAAACGGTGCCCGTGCTCACCATGGTGTTGGCAGCTAACAGGTGCTATGTGTTAGTTTGTCATGGGATTGGCTGCAACGACTTGGGCGCAACGCCTGGGAGTGTCACCTCAGAAGGCTCCTTACGTGGTCTTTTATGCCTGCGGCCCACCTTTAGACCGCACTAGAGCCTGGTGGGTAACATGGATTAAATGATGCAAAAATTCGAAATCGACTCTCACCCCTTTGGCACTGGGGTGGGGCACCATGGGCATCGCAATGCTGGGCTGGGCACCAAAATAACACTAGTTGTGTTGTGGGTGGGGAGGAAGGACATAGAAGTTCTCACCGATCTTAAAATGAAAATAGCCATTGCACTTTTTGACATGTTGCAGACATAGGGAGAACTGCTTAGATCTACTGAACATCAGGTCTCATCAGCCAGGATGGTGTAGAACCTGGCTGTGTACGGCTCACTTATGATATTCATTAGGATTAATTCCCACATGTTCAGAAGTCTTTTCGTTAAAATATACTTTTCTGGTTGATTCTACACCGCTCTTTCCTTAATTTCAATGCATCTACTAACAGTTCCTGTCTACGCACCATACAGCGAAAAACAATGTTTTTTTTTATGAAATAAAATTCGTGTTTCTTTCTTAATGTCCTTATGTCTCCCAAATCCTAAAGTCTTAGGGCATAAATTCACAAGTTTATTTAACTTGTCACGGAGATTCTGGGTCAAGATTTACTTCAGATAATTTTAATGGGGTGTCCGTGGCTGTGACTGACCGTCCAAAGGGTGATCACAGAGTGTAGTACTGTGCCTTTAGCTAGGACAGTCCATAGTGATAACAGAAACAGAGGTTGAAATTGAAAATAAATTGAAGTAAAAAAAGTAAATTGAGGCAAGCAACAGGCACGAGTGCCTGTAAGAAACCGAAACGCATTATTGTGGCCACAAAGAAAGTTTTTTCTGTGTTT